TATATTCTTAGGTTCTATGTTGATATTCATATATGAGTTAAATTTAAAATTAGAGCAATAAAGATGAAAAATATAAGGTATATGGATATATATAAAATATGCATTAAATCTTGACATTACAACACAGTAATACACAATTTGACATGCGAATACGTGGGAATATAAAGCAGCAGACAACCACCGCCATCTTTCACTCCTCCCAAGTCCCGCGATCCCCACGCACCACTATTCGATGGACACAGTGGCTGCCGCCGGCGCCGGCACTGGCGGCCTCCGTTTTGCAGACTCCGTCGACTCATCCCCCCGCTCCCGTGGCGGCGATTCCTTGGACGAGGCACCCTTTTCCTCCTCCGATGCCACCGCCGGCGGGCGCCTCCGCCTCATGTGCAGCTACGGCGGCCGCATCGTCCCCCGGCCCACCGACAAGTCTCTCTGCTACCTTGGCGGCGAGACGCGCATCGTCGTCGTCGACCGCCACTCCTCCCTCGCCGACCTGTCCACCATGCTCTCCCGCAACCTCCATGGCGGCCGCGCCTTCTCCCTCAAGTACCAGCTCCCCAACGAGGACCTCGACTCGCTCATTTCCGTCGCCACCGACGAGGACCTCGACAACATGGTCGAAGAGTACGACCGCATCCTTGCGTCCTCCGCCTCCGGCACCGGCGGCTCCACCCGCTCCTCTCGCCTCCGCCTCTTCCTGTTCCCCTCTAAGACTGAGACGTCTCCAACGTCCTCGATCGGGTCGCTCCTGGATGACTCCAAGTCAGAGACTTGGTTCGTGGACGCGCTCAATAGCGCCATGAACGGGATGGGGATCAACGGCCTCGCCCACGGCCTCTCCTCCGACTCCGCCTCGGTCAACTGCCTCCTCGGCCTCGAGGATGACGCCTCCGTCTACTCCGTAGGCGGCGGCGCCGCAATCGCCGCCTCAGGACGCGGAGGAGACCCCTCGGAGCGGCCTGAGCAGCTCGTCCTCTCTCTCCTGGACTCGTCCGGCAAGCACGCTCGCCACGGTCAGGACGTTCAGTCCGTCCCGGACTCACCGATGCTCGACACGGCTTCCTCCTTCGGATCGGCCTCCTCCGCCCCTTCCCTGTCCAATCTCCCGCCCATCCTCGTCCGACCCGATGACCGCCCACCCGATCTCGGTATCTCCGGCCTCGAGGGCCACTTCGCCCAGATGAACCTCTCCGCCGCAGCCGCTGCTGCAGGCGGACAGAGGCTGGACAATGAATTCAAGGAATCATCGTACAGTCCCCAACTCCAACTCCAACCCCCTCCACCGATATCCCTTTTGGCTTCCTCAGCCTCCACCTCGACCATCTCCCCCACCGAAAACCCCAGCAGAGCATTCTCCTCCGATGACGAGAAGTCCGACCATGGCAGCATCCAGAAGCCGCTCCCGCCGCCGCAGTCTTCGAAACCAAACAAGGTCGAATCCCCAATCTCCGACTCAGGATCAAGGTGCTGCTCCTTTTCCCGACTTCTCTAAATAAAAGTTGCAATTTTGGAATGCTTTTCACCAAAAAAAAATTGCACTTTGATCTCTTCATCTAGAACAACATACTCAAATGCCACCCTCGATCCAAAGCGGGAACTCGCGGCGGTCTCTTCGATTCCGAACCACCACGTTGTGACTTCAGCCACAGATGCTGTGGGCTACCAATTGGCTTCAACTCAGCTGGAGCAATTCCAACAGCAACAGTTCTATCCCCAGCTTCATCATCATCAGCAGCAGCAGCAGCAGCATCAGTACATTCCGGCGAATTCCCATTACATCCACCACCCTGCAACCGGCGTAGTGATCCCCGTCCCCTCTTACTTCCCTATTGCTGCCCACACAATTCAGCAATCTCCGCAAGTTCACCCCTACGATCCCCATCTTCCCCTGTACTACTATCCCGTTCATCAGACTCCGCCGATCAATTTGGCAGATGCCAATTCGATACCTTCGGGGGCAAAACCCCCCATGCCGGTACCTCAAGTCCTCCCCAAGGCTGACCAAATTCCCACCTATGCCGGAATGGGGTATCATGTCGTGCAGCACCACCAAATTGCTCACTCCCCTGCATCGATGTCTAACTACGGCTATCAATTTGCTGCTGATCATTCCCAGCCTCAGATGTACTACTCACAGGCTACTCCACCGCCGGCATTGGCTCCAGCTGATGCCAAGGCAACCAGAGCATCATGATCCCGGTTGGTAATCCCCGGCAAAGCATCGAAGGAAGAAGGAATAGATTCTGCAGGAGGTGAGTGGAATTTTAGTAAGCTTATATATTCTTACTCTACTGTTAATATGAGCTATCTCATCAGTAGTATTGTCCTGTGTTTCTACATGTCTCTGTGTCCCTGTTCTTGTGTCATCTTGTCACTGGACTCAGGGTTTCATCCACGAGTCCTTGGTGCAAATAATCTTTGCTCTTGGAGCAGATTACTTTCATGTTAATTCTGGACTTGTCATCTATCAATAAATTATACAGTAGTTCTCTATTAATTTGCAGAGTTATACTGCAGAACAATACTGATAAGGCTTGCTACTGTTCTTGAATTCTCTTTCTCTTGTGGAGTATGTTTCTGAGCTACGACCTCTGGGTTCTCACAATCTGCATTAAAGAAGCTCTGGTGGCTCATGAAGTCCCGAGATACCCTTCTTACTTTTGGAATGAGAAAGCCCCCATACCTGTTTGTCTGTTTCTATCATTTGACTTGGAGATGACAGTGATGTATATTTTGGTGGAAGGATGTCATTCATTCTTTGTGGAACAAGCAATCAGTGTACCAGGAGCTGAGGGATGTGGGTGTGGCAAACTGGCAACCCAACCTGGATTGCAGTGACTGCTGCTCACATCTCAGGTGAGTTCTGATGTTTGGCACAACCAAAGAGCTGGTTGGCATTCAATCACATTAAGTATCAGATTACCATTTAGTTCCACACCAATTCATAGACTAGAATATGTCTACTATCATCCACTTCATGATAAATAGCATTAGAACTGACCTAACAGATAAGAGACTCACCTGTAGACGACTGAATTGTGACATTAAGCATAGAAAACATTTGATTTATTTAATATGAACTTGCTATAGGTAAACATTTTCATATGGTGGAGCTGGAATTTAGGCAATTATTCTAGACTCTGGTGATTGGCTTTGGATGCCCTTCAACAACAGTGGAGAAGAAGATGCTGGAAGTATTTTTCTGGTCAAAGGTGAAGCCTTTTAGTGGCTCAAACACTGACATAGATCTTATGCTGCATTGAACTGAGCAGTCCTATCCACCTATGCCCCTCTTATTGCAGAAAATTTTAGTTGCTCCATGGTGGAAGCAACAAGGCATTGGACCACAGAAACCATATCCTTCTCTTGACCTTCTCCCCTTCTCCTCGAGGATTACTGATCAACTCTTCAGCGAATTCAAGTCGGTCATATAATGTTTCTGCAACCTCGAGCCTCGACAGATCCAATAATTGAAGTAGAGTCAAGAAAGGAGAAGAGTGCACGCAAAAGGAACTGCATGTTGAAAAGAGAAGCTTAGAAGACTGCTCGAGAAACATTTGTTTCCCTATTAATCTCTCTCCCAGTCTCTCTCTCTCTCTCTCTCTTCTTGAGCCTCTAAATATGGAATGGGGATGTAGACCACATGGATAAATGAAGCACGAGCTACACCATTTGATTGAGAACAATTCTACATACTTGAAGCAGCTCCCTTGTTGCTTCATGATGACAAGCAAATCAACTTCTACTGTTTCTACTTTTCCAGTATCTTTTTGCATATTATTTCCCCCCTCAGAATTCAGTTTTTGTTACTGATTAAACTTGTTCTTCATGGTGTTGAAATGTTAAAATTCATGCTTGTGAATGGGAAGGTATCATAGGAAATAGAAACCAAATTGAGGTGCCATGCCATTCTTGTGGGAAAAGATGTACCTAGGAATTATCTTGGGTCTGTCTGTACAAGGCCATGTGTTGAGTTGATATGAGCTGAAGTGAAAAGCTTATCTTGCCCATCCTTTTCTCTTTTAGTTTACCACTCCATCTCTCTCTCTCTCTCCCTACAGTTCATCCTCTTGCCATATCACCCACATGCTACTAAAAGAGCAAGAACATTTGTCATTATTGCATCTCCAGTTTGGAGACACTTCCTGCATATTCCATCCTTGCTTCCACTTTGTTCTTTCACTTTGCTTTCGATCATAGCAGCCATATGAACTCCATATGTCCAAAATATTCTATTTCAAGGATTATTCAGATCCTTGTACTTCATGCCTCAAATTTAAAGATATTTTGAAAAAAAAAAATATATCTCAGTGCACTCTAAATTCTTATGTTCAGTCCTTTCTGAAGGAACGACTCCACTTTCAGCATTATCAGATATTTAACTGTCTATCTCATCAGAACATGCTTCACCTTTCTCTTGAGTTTGCCACAGTTTCATGCCCTGGCCTATCTCCTTTCTTCGAGTGAAATCATTGTTTGCCTTTTGTTCTTCATCCCATTCACAATAGGATGAAGTCTAAACATTAATTTATTGTACAGGCAATTCTCTTGACATGCCTATCCATGACTGTTCATACATGCAAAAGCATCTCAGAGTATAAGCAAACATTTACATCAGTCATTTATTGATGTTTGCTTAGTGAATAGACGTGAAGGTTAATGCACGCCATACTTGCTGTCATTTGATCTTGAGACGGACAATGGAGCTGAGCAACAAAAGCACCTCTAAACTGCCAAGCTAATGGCAGTAGAACCAAGCTTTGGCTTTTAATGTGAGTTCAGTTTCCTGCCATGGTGGGTCTTCGGTGGGGATAAGCTTGGAGGTGGGGCGTTGGAGCTCACGGCCATCTTTGATGACTCCAAAACCAGCCCGGAAAGGCAGAGATCGTTCATGGCTTCTGCAACTTGTCCCAAACCAGGTTCAGCTTTCGAGATGGAGAAGCAAATCAGCAGCACATGTTGGTGCTTCGCCACAAGAAATCATTTCCCGAAGCTCTCGGACATCTCGACGCCGACGGCTATGTGACGGCCTGCGGGATGAGGTCGTCGTGGTACGTTCGCTTTCAAGGCATGTTGGCGACCACGGCCTTCGGGTGAGTTGCGACTTCGTTTTCGGACTTCGACAGGGGCTCGAAGTCGGTGACAGGCGCGCGCGGCCTCGGCCCAGCCACCGAAGCTTCTCTGTGTTACCATCCCTTGTAATGCCCATAAAGAATTCGGGCTTGAACACTAGGCTCGGCAAGGGCTCCCATTGGGCCTATAATTGGGCTTTCTCGGCCCACCAAAGCGGCACGTAAGAGGCTTTCTTCGCCCATTATTCTTCGTCAGAGACGGACGCAGAGAGAGGACGGGCGGCAGCGACGTCGCAATGGCTGCGGTGACGGAGGAGGATCTGCTGCTTAGGAGCTTCATGGCCGAGGTTAGCGGGGTCGAGAGGGACAACGAGGTGGCCAGGTAACCCACCGATTCCTTCCCGCCGTTCCCTCGCTTCTTTGGCTCCCGCAGTTATACCAACTAGGTTTTGCGTAGTCCTTTTCTACGGGCTTTGGGGGTTACGCGAAATCGTGAATTAGGCGGCGATGAGGGATCTTGTTAACGGGAGGGGAACGGCATGTCTTACCCTAGGCAATTTGATGGAGGATTTGAGAACATCGTCGATTCTTTGGATCTGACCTTGTTATCCGGTCTCATGAATTAATTTTCAGTGTATTTAATAGTTGAATTCGAAGCACCAGCTGGTTTGGCAGGGAATAGGTTATCGCCCGTCCTCTTGTATGCCCTGAAGCAGCAGAGAGGTTGATTTCGCCTCTCAGGGGAGTTTGTAGCAGCATACATCTGAAATGCACGAAATGTATACTGTCCCCAGAAGACAATGTGTATTATTGGATTTTCTTCCCTTTTCCAATAAACCCTAGATGAAAGCAAGAAAAAAATGATCTTCCCTTTTCAATATATGTAGATTGAACGAAAAAAGTACCAGCTAAATGAAAAAAACCTGCCTTTGATGCTATATAAATTAGTATTATCGATTAATCTCATTAAATTGTCCAATTTATCCTTGTACCTTTCACCTTCATACCCTCTCCCTGGACCACCAGTATCACTGCTACCTGTCTCCACCTACATGACCTCCTGCTAATCTTTTCCACTGCCACCGTCGCCTCTTGCCACTACCATCCTTGTCTCTGTTATTGCTGCCAGCAGACGGTCACCAACTTCTTCACCACCAACACCCCTACCCTTTGTCCTCTGCTAGTCTCGGTACCCTGCAGCCACAACTCTCTCATCTAACTCAGCAGCCCCATATTCCCATTACCTCCATGTTGTCCTCTACCACATGGTGGCTTTGGATTATTGATATCAGATGACATGAATATCCCAATAGAACTTGTTGGGAAAAGGATATAATACAGCAATGATATGTCAAAAAGTATTTTAATATATTGTATTATGTACATGACAAAGCTTGACATCTAGAGTTTGGATGGTTTTGGAGCTTAAGTTAATTTTTGATGAACTTTTCATTAACTGACATTTCGTTCTTCCATTTAGTCCTTTAATCAGTAACAAGTGTATCTCAATTCAGGATACTTTCATGCTTCAAGTTGAATCCATTTGAGCATCTGAACTTATCCTTTGATTCATCAGTTGATGATGTGAAGAAGCAATATAGAAAGGTAGAGTTACTTTCTTATTTTTAACTATGAATAGATTTGAAATTGTGAATCGATAATGCCTGATATTGGTGATATTTTGTAGTTGTCCTTGCTGGTTCACCCGGACAAATGCAAGCATCCACAAGCAAAGGAGGCTTTTGCAGGTATTGTGACATAAACAGGTTTGTCTGTCTCTTTGTTCAGCTATCACTGGGCGGTGAAATACATCTGAATGTAGATCTCTCGTGCATAGTCATAACATCTAATCACTTAGTATTTTTCTTACTTTTGTTGAAGACAAATGGGATAATAGCATTAGAAGGAAAGGATGTACTTCCCTTGTAAAACATGTGAATGTACCAGTACTATAAGATCTAAGACTCTAAAAGATAAAAGAGTTAATATTCGGAAAATCTTTAGTCACTCTTATGATGTAGTGATAGAATTTTGCTAAAGAATAATTCTGGTATTTGAGACATGAGTATATATTTTCAACAAAGTTTTAAAGAAATTTGTTGTACACATGGGGGTTTCACTTATATTACCTTGTCTCTAAAAGCTAATTGTCTCTCGACGAACAATTGGCATAATACTTTTGAACATGTATGATGTACAACTATATAAATCTGAGGACTGGTTGAGAAGTTGTGCTATCTAGTTCACTTAATGGGTTTGGTTGGATTTAGATTAGGCTTTGTTTAACTTTAAAATGCACGTATTCTGGTGTTCATTGGACAAGGATTGATTACCAATAGCTTAGTTGTGAATCATTTTTTCTTTTTTGGCAAAGTTCTATCAGTACTTAAAATGACAAAATTGAACCCTTATCTTGTATTGTTTATCTTGCCCTTTTTTCTGGTTGCTGTATTAGAAATGTAATTGGTCTTGAAAATACAGTATGCCTTAAGTTAAAATTTGGTCCTCCCATTCTGATCTAGCAATGCCATTCTGAACAAAAGAACTCTTTGGCCCTTGTTATGTTTCACTATTCTATTAACTTTGAAGGTTACTGATGAATGATATTATTATTGTTACAGCATTAGCAAAAGCACAGCAGTTACTCCTTGATCTACAGGAAAGGGAATATATTCTCAGTCAAGTTAATGCTGCCAAAGGTGGGCATTCTTACGTACTAGTTCCTTATCTTAGATATTTAAGTTATTGATTCCTTTCAAACATTAAATTTATTGAACATAAGCTTCTGGCAATTTCAACGAAAAATTTCACCTAGAATTCCTCATACGTGATAATATTGCTAAATCACAATTGAACTCAATGCCATCAAATTAAGTTGCAGTGCTTATCATAAACTTGCCTTTATGCTTTACATTTTTGTGGATCTCTGCTTTGGTTGGTACAATGTACCAAAATCAACATGAAGATAGCCTTTTCTGCACTGGAGTTCTTCTTTCTGTATTAGTTGACATATTGTACTAGAATTATTTGTTAAATCCATGCAATATACACACTGCTTGTGACAGTTACATTATGAGTTTGTTTGCTTAAAATATTTTATTTCTTGTGATGGTTTGATATGAAAAGAGAAGATCCACTGATGGTGCTTTATGTTGCAGAAGAGCTTAGGTTAAAGAGGAAGAAAGAGTTGAAGAAAGACAATGCCTCTAAATTAAAAGCAATGGTAGATGAGGTATGCTAAGTTGTTTCATTAAACAAGCTGCATGTCCTTTTTACTAGTGATTTTTTTCTTAAGAAGGTTATGTGAACTATTACTCTGTTGACAATGAATCTGATCTTTATTCTTGCAAAATTTGCTTTGCCAGGTGGACTAGATAATTATCGTAAGTGTAAAAGAGAACAAATATCTAGTCACAGATATATCTATATCTATGATACAGCTGATTGACAGTTAGAATTGTACAAATCAAGTATCAGACTTATTTTACTAATGCTTGTATGCAACCAGCAAATTATCTAGAATTGTTAGGTGATGCATGTATAAAAATGGAAAGTATCATCTGATGTGTGCCTAGCTAATTGTCCTTTGCAAGATGTAGATAGATGATATTTTATTGGATGTATATTAACATCTTACAGTTGGTTTTCTTAGCATCTTTAGTATCTCAGTGCACCTTGTGTGGTGTGACTTTGAGAGCAAAGAAAGATGAGTGCCTAGATATATGTTAGTTGGTATCTCCAACTATAGGTAATATGCTCGAGTGCCTAGAGACTCGAGCGTTTTGGAACTTGGGCTTTTAACGCCTAGTGCCTTTGACAACACTAGTCTAGGAACACATGCTTAAGATAAATGCATGTGCATCTAAGGTTACAAAATAACAAAGCAGGAAAGATACAAATTAGATGGCAACTCCTCATAATTGTTGACTTATGAAATCTCAATCTTTGCAGGGTCAAAGAAGTTGAACTTTCACTGAGTTGCAAATGTGACCAACCCATGAGATAGGAGGCCATATCCAAACATGTGGAGTGTGCTATCACACTATAACAAAAGCACACAACTCATCATTTAATAAATGTAAATAAGCAACAAATATATGTTAGTTGGTATCTCCACCTCGAGTCTCTAGGCACTCGAGCGTATTACCAAGACATAGAATTACATACATTTAACCACTAAAGTAAAGGTATTACCTATAGTTTTCATGCCTCAAACTTAACCATTCAGATCGATAATCAAGAGCGAGGTTGTATTGGCATAGTGCAAAGGCGATAGAGAGGAGCAGCTGAGTCTAAATGTGTTGAAATCCAACGCTGTCGATTTGGGCCTAAACGTGTGGCTTGGTTGAATCGAATCAATTTGGGTTCAATTCAAGCCTAATCAAGGTCGATTTGGGCCAGGCAACCACCTTGGCCCAGGCGCATGCCTAAGCTGTGCCCAAATGGAATCGCTCACCGAAGAATTTTGACCGGATAGATATGCATTTCTGAAATAAATGCATAGGATATATTCCGGTATGTAGTTAAACCATGTTTTTTTTTTTTAACGTGTGCCCAAGTGCACTTCAATATGGTTTTGCAAGTTGATCAAATAGTTAAATTATCAGGTAAATAACAGCTCAGGAAACTTTGATTTGCATCAACAGGGAAAATTTGAGCAGCAGTACGAGCAATCAGAAGAATTCAAGCAGCAGTTAAAAATTAGAGTGCGTGAAATTTTAACTGAACAGGAGTGGCGTCGGAGGAAAATGCAAATGCGGGTTTGCTATACAACCTAATATTTACAGTATTTTGTTCTTGTTCATTATATACCATTACTACTTACAAAGGAATTGTTGAACACCTGGAATATGTATTCATGAATAACTAGATATCAGAAGAGGAAGGAAGATTAAAGAAGGAAGAAGAAGAAACGAAAGAGATGTGGAAAAGAAAGCGTGAGCATGAGGAACAGTGGGAGGAAACAAGAGATCAACGGGTATGTTTTCTCTCTTTTTCTATTTTTATCAAGATTGTTTTTTCTTTATGACAATTACTAATCTTATCCCAGTGGCAATAATACTTGGAAACACAAAACATTTTGATGCTGAGATAAATCACTTGTCATAGTTGCAGGAATTACGATATATTGCCAAATTCATCATATGTTAAAGCTCAGATACGATTTTTTTTTTTTTTCATCAGTATGGGTTGATGGTTTAACCTGAGCTACCTTGAATAAGTTGTTTCCAGGTATTGCCACTTATTTGTGTGTTTCCCATTTCCTATGTATGGTCATCATAATTTCAGAAATGAGCTTAAATATAGTAATATACATGATGGTATCGAAGGAAGGTCATAGATGGTAATGAAACAATTGGTAAAAAAGAAAAGATTGTCTAGGTATTCATAATATTTATCGATAACAGAAGACACTGCATAGTCGCATATATATAGGCAAATGTGAAGTTCAGGTGGATAGAAGAATGAAGCTCGTTCCCTTCATTCCTGATGCCAGTTCTTATTAGGTATATTTGACTCACTGTTTTAAGTTGAAAATGCCTTTAATAAATGAAAATAATCCAAATTTGTGGAAGCAAGTTTTAGATCAATCCAGTAATTTTTTGAAATTTGAGGGGCTCTGTTGGATGTGAAAGAGCTTAAATGCATAAAAGTAGTTGCTCCAGGCATTTGTTTTATGGTAGTGAGAATATTCATAATCATAAATGAGTCTTTACTGCTTCATCAAATAAATCATGTGAACACCTCATGATTTATTATGAAATGAGTCTTTTCATAATCTTTATTCGGTCTTGACCCTAAAAAATGTATTATCTAGTTTTATAGCATTCCTTTGGTGAGGTTGATTTTTTGTCACACCTCTGGTCATTCATTCACTACTGATGAAATTAGCAAGGATCATGGTTATGTACCAACTATCAAAATTTTGACATAGATATGGTTTGGAGCAATTAATGCTGTAATAGCCATCGAAAGATCATGATCTAATGAATACTCATCATCCTTGCATCCACCGAATTCACGGTCTACTGTTGCTGCAACTAAATTTACTAAATCTATCACTTAAGCATAATTTTCTCGTATGTCGCAGGTTTCCAGCTGGAGAGATTTCATGAAGACGGGAAAGAAGGTGAGAAATAATGGTGCCTGTGATGGTACAATAAATAGCATCGAGTTTCTGAACTGATGCTATTATTGTTCTCTGTAGGGCAAAAAAGGTGAGATACGGCCACCAAAGCTCAAAACAGAAGATCCGAATAAGTCCTACGTTCAAAGGCCTGTGAAGAGAGGGTGAAACCAAATTACTCGTCGGAAACCGGAGACTTGATTTAGCATATCTTCAAGACGAGCAATTGTGTTTATGGTGGCGAGTCTGCCGGTTGCGATGGTGAAAAATATGAGTACAACTCTGGTCATTAGGTTTTATCAACATTTACGGGAGTTATCACCTGTTTAAAGTTCTTCCTGTCGTGAATTCTGTGTTGGTGATATGATGATCCAAGATTTTTAGGGAAGAGATTGAAAATGCCACAAAACCAAGCCAATAATAAGATTGTGTATGTTGATACAACATGAAACCGATGGATCGTCCTTGTGTCGGGCACTCCAGTCTAACTCAGTATAAAAAAAAAAAAAGAATTAATACGCTAAAACAGTGATTAAAGCTCGATGTTGTTTGTCTATCTCTCGTACACTTTGGCTTCTCTTTTTCTTCTCCTTTGCTTTCTCTATGTGATCCCCTTTCTTCTTCTTTCTCCTTGATAGCTTCTCTTCTTTCATTTTTTTGTTCTCCTCCTTTGCTTTCCCTATCATCTCCTTTCTTCTTCACTCTTATTTTCTCTACTACCTCGTGTCTTCACCACCGACACTGACCGATCAAATCACCATAGTCAGTCCCTTGTCGACGACAATCAACCAAGACAGGGAATAAGATTAACTAATGGTAAGTAATATCAACATACAATCGGAATTGTTGTTTATTCCTATATTATTAAGGAAAATAAAATAATTAATTTTTAATGCATTAATTTGTAATTCTCTCTGCAAATTTTACCCGAAATTGCCTTTTCCTTTTTACCTGGATTTCCACCGCCCAATTATTACAAAAACCCACAAGTACAAACTAGAAATCCTGATAGAAGCCAAAAGACACTGACAGTTGATACAGCTTTCGGAACAAGACAATGAAAGCGCTCTTATTGTTCGGTGCTTCATCGTTCAGAAATATAAATACAAAATCATCACAACTGTCTTCCCAGTGTGTCATTTACAAGGCATTTTCGATGGCTCACAAAATGGCGAGCACTTAAATCGAAAACTTGAGAAATGCAAGGTGAAAAAATTGGAGAACGAATATCTATAGGGGAAAATTTGTGAAAGAATACATTTGGAACTTTGTCTCGAACTCTAATTATATTACTCACTCGATCAAGTGATTGCTGGGGATTTGGCCAAAGATATCGGGACACCCATCCCACGAACCTTTTCCCCTTGTCTCCCAGTAACCACCAAGGTAACGGTATGTGCCGCTGGCTTTGTCCTTAGCAAACCACCGAGGTTTCCAACCTGTTTCCTGCATCTTTCTTGCCTGCATGTCATCAGTCACTAATTCATTGATGGAAGCATTAAAAATAGCAGTCAAAATGATTGACAAAGAAATTGGAAAAAAATAAAAGGAAAAAAGAGAGATGGTATGAGAGTTGTGCGTAGAATGGACAAATGCAAAAGCATGTTCTTGATTTATTTGATTGAACTATAGGCTGTTTGCTAGAAGAATCACAATTTACTTGCATATTTATCATGATCTGACCTGATGAGATAATTGACTCAAAAGCCCAAGTTATTAGTCCATATATCAATTCAGGAACTAGATTGAGATGTTATAATCTTCGCCCAACTAAAGGGTTGACGTCCTCATCGAGGCACCCAGATATAGTTTGTGTAATTTCTTCAATTGAAGCGTTATATTTTCATAATTGCATAAGCAGGATGATCAACGAAATGAACAATAAGCCAACTCCATACATCAAATATACCGCAGAACCATAAAAAATTAGAGACAGCAACACTACAAACTACCCAAGATGAAAGAATTACTAGTCTAATCACATTAAGAATAATTTTAAATTTGGAAAAGCAAGTTGTTGTCAACTTAAACCTGTCGTTGCCTTTGTTCCAGTCTCAACTTCTCGGAGTTTGCTATTTCATACTCCCCGTTCTCCAAGCACCTCTGGTCAGGTCGAAGCCTTGAGTCAGTGGGTGGCAACTTTTCCTGCTCATCAATCAACACAAAATTAAAACCTTTTAGATTATGTATCAAAAAAATGTATGTGAAAAAATAAGAAAAGCCAGGAGTGAGAGAACACCAAAGGCTTCACCTTTAATCCAGGGGTTAATTCATTCAGCGTAATGGCAAAGCGAGTAAGGTTGTAACGGGTAGGATGCTTGGATGGTTTACTACGCTTCCACAGTAATTGGGCTTCAGAAAATGATTCAGCTCGGTTGCCCTTTCCAGAGACATCTCCGGCCATGTAATGCATGCTGTCATCCCATTTTCCAATTAGGGTTGCAACAGTTTTCCCACTGCGATCCAGAACTACACCTTGGACCTACAAAGGCTAAAATCAATGTCTTTTTGTTGATATGAAAAGAGATTGTTGGATGTCAAACTCAACAGTGCCAGTATTCTGTGCAGCTTGTACTAGTCTTGCCATTCCCAGGCAGATCCAAAATATCACACAATAATAGTGTCATGATCAACAGATGACAGTAAGCAGGCTCTGCGAATAACTCGTATAAGAAGGTTATGGAACAGAATTGACCAACATATGCAACATTACTATCTTACATGGCAATTCTAGAAAACTAGGCCCATGAAAATTGAATAGGTTCGAGTTTTGCACAAAGAACATCAATATGATTGCAATTCCATAAATGAAACTTGCTGAATGATAGCAATAATAGATTGAGTGAAGTAATGTCAAATATTGATGATCAACAATTAGCACAAGTACTACACATGACACAAGCAAACAGCTGTCTCTATATACGCAAGCAAAATGGAGGAAAGGAAAAATACATGTAGCATTGGGTACAATCTATGATTTCTAGAGGAAATTAAGATAAAGGGCAAAAGAGCAAATCACCTGATGAGGGTTGCGGTCTATTATGGACTGCTCCTTGAACTTTAGCTTGCATGAATATTCACCATTACCTTGTATACGCATAGTACCATAATGGTCACAATAAAGTTTTCCCAATATAAGGTTATAAATGGAAGTCGTCACCTAAAATAGCATGTAACAAAGTCTCATACAACGTTCACAACATCTAAAACACAATATCTCATGTAAAAATGAAATACCTTGTTCCATTGAAAAACTTCACCATCATCAAACTCAACAGAAAGAATACCAACAGGGTCAAGCTGAATTGAACGTCCCCAAAACTTGCTTCTCAAATTGCTATCTCCCCAGAACTTCCATCCATTACCTTCACAGTGACATGCAACAATCATGGGATGATGACTGACCTGTATATGCAGTAAATAGGTAAACTAATTCTCTACTTTGCATAAACTAAAGCATGTAGATTTAAACAATGCAGAGAAGACATAAACAGCAAAAATACAAAAGCAAATCAGCAGCAAATTAAAGCAAAACAAAATAGATATGACAACAACGGTGAGGAAATAACATTGCAGCTTAGTAAAGCTCAATGACGTTATTTTATGTAAAAGGCATGAAGAGCAACTCGTATGGACTGAAGTCATAAACTCCTAGATAGCACAATAAAAAGAACAGATGTCAAAAATTACAGCACATTTCAGTTCAATCAGATGTCTCTACATGCCATCTTCTCTGTCACATTTGTGGTTCAAGAATAAACTTCGCCGCTAGTTGAAAACAAAAAAATTCCAAATTACTCAAAATTTTCAACCATCTCATAATATTCAGTTTTATAATGTAAATTGCCAGATTGCATCCCAACCACATATTGCTAGGAAACGTGTATGTTGGAACAAAACATTTGATTGGGGTCGTCCACAGTAAACAAGTTCAACTTTTGTAACAACAAAAGAATATATACAGAATCCTTCATTAAAAAACAACAACAACAAAAATGCATACCATAAAATTTATGCTCATGAGTTAAAAACCCAATATATGTAGATTTTGAAGTGAAATATAACAAAAAAAATCAGAATAAAGAATTAAACTGTCTTGGAACCCTTGTCCGTGTAAACTGATCATAAATTTACTCAACCAGAAATTAAATCACCAATTACGAGGGAAAAAGTCAGAATAAAATCCATGGTTGGGTATATATCTTTCTTGTAAATGAGAAAAATACACCAAAGAAAATAGCAGCCCCACTATGCTAGGTACATTAAATAGTGTAGGAGTCGATAAGAAGTTCACAAATTCCTTTAGCATATTGGATCCCTGGTGTTTGTATTTTAGATAACATAATATCCAACAAGAATACACAAAAGGCAGTGGCATAATAACATAAAAAAACTGCACATTATGGAAGCACATATCACACGCAGCATGGTAGAGAATATATTGATAAATATATGCATGAGGAATATAACAGAAGAGGAAGCAGAAAAGAGGCAGAAAAATCAACTGAGTTGGCATTGTCACGTTTATAAATATATTGAATCTGGTGTGGAAGGACAGGAAAGAGATTGTTAAGATCTAAAAGATCATAAATGACCACAGCTTGTTAGAATTTCAGAATGTGAGGAAAGAATTAAGTTTCCTTTGTTCATAGACTCACCAAATAATTAAAGTTCAAATTTAGCTTCAATGATTTATTTAACATCAAATTTATTGAGAGACAAAAAAGGGATAAAAGTCAAAGACACAATTGATAGCATCAAGTATGAAAAGAATTGATTAGTATGACATAAATATAGGAAAATTTTGTGTTTGTTTTACCTTTTCTGCAAAAAACTTTAGACCTTTTTCAGGATACTCAGCCTCATATGTCTCCCCCAAAAGTGGATTAAAAGGTTTGCAGCTTCTGCCCTCAGTCGAAGCATATCCAGAAACAGCAAATGCAGCAACATTAAGGATTCTCATAAGTCCATCACCCTAGAAAATTTCATAATATCCAAATTTTCAACATAATTAGGATAGGCTCATGCAATCATTGAACTAAAATGCAAGCATACTCATTTTGACTTTGCATGGTTAGTTGATCGCAAAGCAACTAGTGTTTGTTGATTTCCATAAACAAAAATGTCTCAATGAGTTTATTCAGGAGTCTATCTCATTAGTATAAATGTTTTCATGCAACTTCTATTGTATCCACGGTCAAACAGTATATTAAAAATTATGATGTCCAATGATTATTTTGCCCTTAAGAGTTTCTAATAACAAGACAGCAATATACTTGAGTAAGTTGAAACCCAATTACTAGAAGGCCTCCATGTCATGTTGATGTGATTTGGTACCCAACAGTTGAACTTGTATAATGTAGCCAGTCTTTATTTCCTTAGCCCTCTGGCATATTGCTCCATGCAAAGGGTTCCCTCCCCTTACCCCGCTCC